TACTGAGAGTTAGAGGATGGTTCCCCCCACCCCACCAGGGCTTCTTGGGCACCGAATTCCCAGAGCTCTGAAGGAAGTCACTGTCCTTGCTCCCGCTGCTCTTTGAGAGATTTCATAGTGGACATTTGTTTGCCCATATACAAGTGGTCTTATTTCTGCGACATGAGCCCTGAGGGGTGGAACTGGGACAGATCCCTGGAGCTGGAACTGGGGGCCTGGGCAGTGGGGTTCCTGAGCACACCCCACAGGTCTTGGGAGCACTCCCATGGACCCTCTCAGGTTTTGCCCACTGAACACTGACCGCCCTGGGGGGTGTTCACACCCATCGAGTCCCCATCTTGTCCATCTCTCAGCACCCTTTGTCCAACTGGCCCTTGGCACCCTGTGGGGGTGGTGGTGACAGAAAAGCAGGACAAAATAAGGGACAGACAGTGCTTCCTCTGGGACAGAGCAAATCCCCAGGAGGGCTTCTCTGGGGAGGACTGCTGACCCCCAAGTACTGCAGGGCCAGCGCAGGGGCTCTGCTGACAGGACAGGATGTCATTCCCCGAAAAGGTCTCCTGATGAGCACGGTGAGAGTGCTTTCCCTGGAGACAGCACTGGGTGTAGACAGTTCTGGGCATGTGACTGCACTGGGGAAAAACAGAAATGGTCCTGGGGGATTCCCCCAGGGGCCGTTTAAGGAAGGAGGGACACAACAGCTAAGGCCAGGCCCAGTCACCAGGCCCAGTGACCCCAAAGACACCCCTCAGCCAAGGGGGGAGTGCTTCCCGAGAGCCCCCTGCTGATTTATGGTTCACCAGGGTGGACAGAGTTATGGCTGCTAAGGCCTTGCTCCCTCCCTCCTCCTCCTCCCTGTTGGGGGTCGGCTGGGGTGGGGTAGCTCTCAGCTGGTTTCCAGATGGGACTGGTGGAGGGGGCACCTGGGGGTGGGAGGCCAGACACCCTGAGCAAAGGGACCTGGCCCGTGTCAGCTGGCCAGGCCTAGCTGCCTCTCTTGCTGTGGTTGTCTCTCTGTCTCTGTCTCAGGCTCTGTCTCTGTCACATGCAGCTCCCCCTTCCCCAAGGCAGCCTGGGTGGGTGGGAGTGGGAGCCGGTGATTTATCACCTGCTGCCTGTCTTCCATCGGAAACGCCAGGGGTGGGCGCAGACGGTGCGGTGAGCTATGGGCCCCCAGGGCCCCGCCACCCACCCCAATGTTGTTGCTCTGTCTGGGCGGCGGGTGCACCCCCCCCAACACAAGGTGGCCAGAGCTTAGACCCCTCCAGACCTTCCCAGGGCCTCGTCCACGCAGGCCCCACTCAAGTCTCCGCCCAGTGAGGGGCCACCCGCTCCCCAGGCTCCCCTTCAACTCCCTAGGATGGAGGGGGCCCATGGAAGACCCGCGTACACACACCCCCGCCCTCAGGTTGGTTGGGAGGTGGCGCAGCGTCTGTTCCACTCCCCTGGGGGAGCTCCCTCTACCGTCCCCACCGGGTATCCTCAGCAGAAGCGGCTAAGGCCAGCTCCTCACAGTCGCCCTCCACGCCCGCCACAGCAGCTCCTTCCAGCCCCGCCCCGGTGCACACAGCAGGGACTCAATAAGTGTTTACGGAGCAAACAGGCGGCGGGAGGGCGGTTGGTGCACCTGGGATGACACCCCCTCCGCCTGGCGGAAGAGGTCCCTTATCTTCCCTGTTGACGGGCTGTCAGCGATCAGAGGGAGAGGAGGAGAGGGGAGCGGAGGAAAGGGGAGGGGAGGAGGAGGGAGGGATGCAGAATTGGCGCGCTCACCCCTCCCTGTCTGTTAGCGGCCGCTGGGCGCACCCTTCCCTGTTCCCATGGGGGGTGGGGGTGCGACCTATCAGCCGTCTCGACGTTCACGCCACCAGCCTGGGCAAACCCTCCCTCTCCTGGCCTCTGTTTCTCCGCGGACCCGGGTTGCCTGCCCAGTGCCCACCTCGGCCGCCTTGGCCACACGCGGGCTGTTTCCGCAGACCGCGAGCGCCCTCTGGTGGTCGTACTGGGTCGTGGCGAGTGAGGGGGGAACTGGATGCGGTTTGGGGCGGGAAATTATCACCCACGCACTTCACAGGCAAGGCTACCAGAGGGAGGTCACAGCTGTGTCTGCCCCAGGGATGCCGTCTGGCCCTTCTCGGGGGTGGGCAGTGCTGTGGTCAGAGGACCCTTGGGCTGCAGGGCAAAGGACCCGCCTGAATCAGCCAGTTTGGGGACTAGAGGTGTGGGGGGATGGGTAGCACCTTGAGTTGTCACTGCCTTGTTCTCATCTGGAAGGAGTCTGAAGCCACAGAGAGGACCAGACTGTCAATGGGGAACAGAGCCTGGGGCAGGTATGTTGTCCATTAGATGGAGGACAACGGCTGGGGGGAAGGGCAGGATAGCTTGTTGAGCCAAGCGGTAGAGGTGTGCACTCCTCCTTCCAGCACCGGCCCATTCAGGGGCGCTGAGCTGAGACCATCCTCTTCTCCACACTCCTTGGAAGCTGAGGCCCCAGGGTCAGTGCATGGAGGGTCAGCTCGGGGTCAGAAGTTGGGATGGGAGAGCTCCCAGGAGGCCTGGAAAAGGTTAGCCATTGAGGCCAGGCCAGCGCCCTCTGTGCTCAGTACCTTGGCAGAAGCCAATCGAAATCATGCCCAACTGGCAAAAAAAAAAAAAAAAAAAAGAGGGAGAAACCATGGAATTCAGCTGCCATATCTACCAGGGGGTAAGGAAGTTCTTCTTTAGGTCTGACCACATGGTGATGCCAGCCTCTTTCCTCCAACAGAGAAGCTGAAGCTGCTTCAGCTCCAGGCTCTCAGGGCTGTGTGCCCACTCTCTCAGCCGGACACTGGCCCAGAAGCCCTCAAGGTTGTGGGCAGTGGGCATTGGACTTGGGCTCTTACTGACACTTCCTCATAGTTCCTGCTGGAGTCTTGGCTCACAGCGCAGGGGGGCCTCCTTCTTTTAGCTCAGGGTCATCTAGGACCCCTGGGTCATTTTCTCCTGGGCCCTGCATTTGCTCCCTGAAGGCCTCAGGGAGGAGGAAGAGAGGGGGAACCTAGGAGCCTGGTCTTAGCTCTGCTCTGGCTCAGCCAGGGATCCCTCCCTGGCATCTGGTTTCCTCCTCTGGAAAGTAAGGGGAACACTGTCTCCCTGTACCATGTTGGGAGTGAGTTAGGAGGTTGCTGTGTACATTGCTGTGACAACGATTATTACCTCTGACCCCTACCAGGGACTCTGAGTGTGCTGGGCCACCCCTGGGGGTTGGGAGGGTGGCAGTTCATTTGTACAAAAGGGGCCACCATCCCTGATGTGGTGATAAGGCCGGATGGACCATTGGGCAGTCGGCCACAGCCCACAATGGGCCGGATGGCCCGTACCTGCCCACAAAGGAGGGGGTGGCTCCTGGCTCATGTCTGACCAGCAGCCCCGAGATAGCATCAGCCCAACCCGAGGGTCATCCATCTTGTGCCACAAAGACTGGGACAAAGGCCGTGTCAGCGGCAGCCTCCCCGACCTGGTCAGTGGGGGCCAGAGCCTTCCTGTGCCAGGCACCCCGGGCCCAGGCCTGAGGCTTCTTGTTGGGGTCCATGGGGAGCAGCCTTCATCGTTTACGTGGGCAGCCAGGTGGGGGCCACACTGGGGTGGGAGGTGGACTCCAGTAGTGAGGAGAGCATCAGGCCTCCTTTGGGCACCCCAGGCCCCTGGTTAGCAGCTTGTGCCTTGCTGGGCTAAACCCCCAAGAAGCCCCAGGCCCTGGCTGCTCGGCTCGGGGTTCAGGGACTAGGGCTGGTCTGGGCAATCAGGGAGACCTGCCTGTGGGAAGTGGCAGCCAAGTGCAGGACATGATCCCAGAGACCAAGCAACCCCCTGGTACCCACTCACCCCCGCAGAGATCTGCCTCACAGGCTGAGCATCATAATTCAGATGCCCAGGGAGTTCCAGGGGGGCCATGAGACCGTCCTCACCACCTCAGACCCAGCCCTGGCCATCCTCAAAGCTGTTCACAGGTCATGGTCATTGCCACTCACACTCCGAACAGTCCTCAGAGCCTTCTCACGGCTCCTCATTGACCCCTCAGATGCTGCCACTGCAAACATCCATTCTCTCTCTCAACTACACTGCCCTGCAGGGCCCTCAATGTCCCCACTGTCTTCACTGTCCCATGTCCTCACTGTTGCTGCGTCCTCACTGTTCCCATGGAGTCCTCACTGTCCACAGAGTCCTCACTGCACTCAGTGTCCTTGCTGTCCCTGTGTCCTCACTGTCCCCAGTGTCTTCACTGTCCCAAGTGTCCTGTCCTCAGTGTCCTCATTGTTCCCAGTGTCCCTGCTGTCCCCACTATCCACTGTCTTCACTGTCCTATCCTCAGTGTCCTCGTTGTCCCCAGTATCCTTGCTGTCCCTAGTGTCCTCATTCCCCAGTGTCCTCACTGTTCACCCTGTCTTGTCTCCACAGTGTCTTTGCTCCCCAAAGTGTCCTCACCGTTTCCACACTGCCCTCACTCCCCACAGTGTCCCCTACAATGTGGTCACTGTCCGAGTTCTTCCGTGCTTTCCACTTGAACTTCTGCGAGAGTGAGTGGTCTGGGAGAGGTCACTCACTAACCCGGTGTTTGGCTGGCAGTTATTCTGGGTGGGCGAAGAAGGGATGCGTCCCCTTGAGAAGCCTCCCAAGGCTGTTCCTGCGGTTTGCGGAGGGGAATTTCCGGGTGGCGGGGCACAGAGACCAGTCAGATAGGGAGAAGGGTTTATTCTGCGCTGGAGTTTGGCGTGGGGGACCTCGCCGGCGGCTGGACTGCAGCTTCCTCCCGCCCTTGACCTGCCTCAGCGGCCCGGGCACGCGGCGGGCACGTGGCGGTGGGGCGCGCGCCCGGCTCGGGGCCTGTAGGGGTTGGCGTGGTCTTGGAATTCGTAACCAGGCGAAGGACGAGACTCGTCCGGGTCAGAGCGAGGGCCCCCCCGGGATGGACTCTGTCGGGTCGGCGGGCCCGCGTCGCTCAGCGCTTCTCGGGGCTCCTCTCAGGACTCGCGGGCTCCCGCGGGCTCCGCCACCAGCGGGGCGGTCAGCGACAACGGGTGCGTGGCGCGGGCGCGGGCGCGCAGCCGGCGCAGGCGGCACAGCAGCAGCAGCAGCAGCAACGCGTGCAGCAGCCCGAGGCCGAGCAGCAGGAGCTGCGCCCCCAGCGCCTCCCGGCAGAGCGCGCCCAGCGCACAGGCGGCGCGCAGCTCGTCCTCCGCCAGGTAAGGCAGCAGGCGGCCGCGCAGAGCGGGGGGCGCGGCGCAGCGCAGGTCGCGGTAGGGCGCGCGCTCGGGTCGGCCGGCTAGCCAGGCGCGCAGCGGCACCAGGTGGCAATCGCAGCGCCAGGGGTTGGCCCCCAGGTGCGCGAGACGCAGCACGGGCAGCGCGTCCAGCAGTCCCGGCGGCAGCGCCGTCAGATTGTTGCCCGTCAGCACCAGTTCGGTCGTGTCCAGCGGGAAGGCGGCGGGCAGCGAGGCCCACGTCAGCCCGCGGCGCCCGCAATCCACAAGAGTCCCCGCGCAGTCACACGGCGCGGGGCAGCCCGAGGCCAGGCGGCTGGGCGGCGCTAGCAGCAGGAGCAGCAGGCTCAGCGCCCCGCGCGGCCCTGGAAGGGAAGCGCCATAGTGAGCCTGGAGGCCTGTGGGGCTCTTGGGCGGGTCCCTGTGCACCCCGGGGTGCCGGGCCAGGCTCCAGCCCCCGAGGTCCGAGAGCCTTGCCCGCAAGCCTCTCCACCCCCATCATCTCGTGCGCTGGCTAGAGGTCCTCTCGAAGTCCCACCCAAATCTCCCTACGGTAGCGCCTCCCAGCCCGACTCTGCTCAAGGAGCGCAGCCGGGGCCCTGCCTGACCCCAGACTCACCGAAGCCCATGGCGAGAGGATGGTGACCCGGCTTGCTCTGGACCGCGAAGCCTGGGCTGGAGAGCCAGGCGATAAGGCTGCCCCGCCCCTGCCAGGCCCCAGATCCCCCACCAAACCGACCACAGCGCAGCCATCCGCCAGAAATAACCTGGAGGCCGAGGGGACAGGCGCTGTGGCCCCAGATAGAGCGCTATCACCAGGGCCTGCTGGCCACCAGGGCTTCCGCCCCCTCACAACCTCCCAGGGGCACATGGATCACTCTGACACCGCTGCGACTTCACCAACATTGTTTTCCTGTCACCAGGACAGGACGTGGCATTCACAACTGAACAAAACTGGAGAATGGGGTTTGGGGGGAAGGTATCATGCTGGGGGTTGGGGGTTGGGAGGGGTGGGCTAGGGAACTCAGGGCAACAGTGCTGCTGGGGAGAAGGGACCTCCGGCCACAGGCAGGGAATGGCAGTCTAGGCAGGCATAGGGGGTTACTGGGTCACCCACCACCACCCACTACTCCTAGAGCCCTCAGGCCAGGCCACAGCCATGGGTGAGGAGCATGGGCGATCACAGGTGTCCCAGCCCCACCAGCCCCATGAAATCCTTGCCTGCAGCCAGCTGCCCTCCTTTGGTCTGGAGGGATCATGAGTGCTTCTGTTGCCCAGCCCGCCCACTGAGTTACCCTGTGAGGGGGTGAGGAGGTAAGGAAAGACCTGGCCCACCTCGGCACAAAGTGAGGTCTCAGCTTAAGCTGGGTGGCCCAAGGGAGTGGGCACAGGAGGGCTCCCACATCCACTCTGTGGCACCGGGGTGGGGAACTAGGCCCAGGATGCTGGGGATCTGCTCCCCTCTTCTGCCTTGTTTTACCCACCCACCTGAGCAGGGCCTGGAGTTGGAGTTCATGGCCTTCTAGGGCAGGGGTAGATCTTAAAAGCCATGCCCCAACCTAGCAGCTTCTCCCCCAAGGCCACAGGGGGCCAGCTGTGGTGAGGGGCTGCTCTCAGGCTTCTTGGAAGCAGATACAAATGAGGGGAGAGACTGATGCTGAGAATAAATTAGGGTTGGCTGGGGGCTGTGACCCCGCGTCTCTGGGTCAGGTCAGTAACAGCTGGGAACAGTCCTGGTCTGGGTCACTCTGGGACTGGAGTTGTGCCCAGGTCTGTTGCAGCTCCAGATGATTCCAGGGTTGAGTCCAGGCCAGTTGGGGTCCAGGAATGGGAAGGGCCAGCCTGGAAACTGGCAGTCTATCCATGGCGATGTGGGGCTGGGCTGGGGTCACTGGTCCTGCATTTGCTGCTTCATTTTCTGCAGCATCTCCTGCATGCGCCTGAGCTGGAGGGGAGACAGGAAGAGTAGAGGATGGAGTGAGAAACGAGGAGGAGGGGCCTGACCCCGCCCCACCCCACCCCCAGCCCCTGCTCCTCCCCTGGGGCCCTCATCACCTCCTCATCCTTCATTCTGATGAGCTTTTCTGTCTCTGCGTCAGGTGTAGGCAGTGGCAGGATGGGGATGGGGCTCTCCATGCGGCTGTCCTGGGTCAGTTTGCTGTGGGGTAGACCAGAGGGCGGGAGTTTGTCTGACACCCAGCACTAGGAAGGCCCTCCCCCTCTGAGCTCCCATTGGCTCTGGGAGGACAAGATGCACGGTGGGCCGAGGGAGCTATCAGGGAGCCAGGGGCCAAGAGCAGGTCTGGGTGGGCAGCAGGGACCAGCCCTCTGTTAGGGAAACGAGGCTGGGGGTCGTGGGGCGCATGATGCGGTCGGGGGTCAGGGCTGCGCACCTGGTCATCTGCTGGATGCAGTGTGCGCGATAGTTCTCATAGTGCACGTCGCATGTCACGTCCTTGAGGTCATGCATGTGCGTGCGGATAAGCATGTTACGCAGCTTCACAAAGTCGCAATGCGCCTGGTTTTCCACTGTGGGGCGGGAGTGGGTAGCGGGGGTGGGTGCAGGCCCTGGTGGTGGTGGGGGGAGCCTTCCCACCCCCTAGGCGGTGCCCCACTCCTGAACTCACCTTCCACGATCCCCCAGGGGTACAGTCGCCCCCGGACCCGCTGCCCCTTGGCCTCCACCACTGTGTTGCTGCCGATAACCGCGAAGGGCGCACTCTCCTGGGGAGGGCAGGCACACGGGCTCACGCCCAGTTAGTGTGAGTGTGGGGTTAGTGGCTGAAGATGGGCCTGGGCATGCCGTACCTTGTTGGCACCTCCAGCATTACCAACAGGCTCTCCCCAAAGAGATCCTGGAGTTGCCCACCTCTTTTGGCTTCTCGGAAGCCAGAGCCTGGCACCGCTTCTACCCCAGGGGCCCTTGCCAGGTGTGTGCCACCAGGCACATCGTCCCCTTCTGACACCACCCCCTATCAGGAACTGCTCCATCTAGCTACCTTTGCCGTCCCTCCCCAGAGCTGAGCCCCGGCCTCCTGTTGGTGATGCTGACTTTGGCTGGGGCCAAGAGGCCCACTCTGCTCCTGGCCCAGCAGCCGGCTATCCTATGTCTTGTCTCGCCACTCTAGATCCTGGGTCACCCAAAGCTATAGCCACCTTCTGGAGCTCAGAATTCTGGGGGCCAGGGCATGAGTAGGCTTGGGAACACAGGGCCCTGGGCCAGACCTTTATGCTGGTGACCCCTTGGAAGAAGACTGAGGAGTAGGGTCAGAGTGGAGCACTAGCCAGCACTGTGCCTTTGGGTCCTGGCAAGTGCCCCAGGACACATGAACCACATGGGGCCCAAACCACACAAGCCAGTGGGGACAGGGGGGACTGTACCCACCCCAGCCCCAGGTGAAGGGGCTCTATTGCCCAGACAAAAGACTCCTGTCCACTGGGTTGGACCTGGATGCTTGGCTCCATGTAAACTGACCTTCGGTTCCCTCCTCTGCCACCCCAGGCTGCTCACCTTCAGTTCCCGATCCTGCTGCTTAAAGTCCTCGTCCTCATCGGAGTCACACTCAGGGAACTGGTACACGTGGATGCCGAACTTGTCAATCTCCTCCCGGATCTGTGGCAGGGCAAGGGCTGTCAGACCCAGTACTCAGGGCCAGCCACGTTGGTACCCGCGATCAGCATGGTGGCTGGTGTCCATCCCAGAGACCTAGTCCAAGGCTCACCCGCTCCTTCAGCTTCCGGATCTCACCAGGGACCAGGCAGTCGGCTTTGGCGATGAGGGGCACAATGTTCACCTTCTCGTGCAGGGCCTTCATGAAACCCACATCCACGGGCCGCAGGCTGCAGAGAGTAGCCAGGGCTGGTGAGGGGCAGAGCGGGGGTGGTGGGGGGCCCGGGGAGAGGCTGGGATAGGCTCAGGGTGGGCAGGCTTGTGAGCACACAGCCAGGGGCCAGGCAGTGGCTGGTAGAGCCGTGGCGCTCTGTGGAGGTGGGAGTCCGTTCCAAGGCTGCTTACGCACCCATGGCCGAAAGGGGAGATGAAGTATAGACAGCAGTGCACGCGGTTGTCTTGGATGTTCTTGCGGTTGAGGCCGCTCTCGTCGCGGAAATACTGCTCGAACTGCTGGTCCACGTAGTCAGTGATGGGCTTCCAGCTGCAGAGGGACAGGAGGGTCTGTGAGGCCAGAGGGGAGGCTGGGCCAGCCTAGGCAGAGACTGTCCCCCGGCCGAGCTCTGCTCACCATTCCGAGTTGTTGACAGCATCCCCGAAGCCTGGCGTGTCCACAATGGTGAGCTTCAGCTTCACGCCCTTCTCCTCGATGTCCACTGTGTGCTTCAGGATCTCTACAGTCTGGCTGATGCGCTCTGCGGGGGTCGGGGCATGGTCTGGGGGGGGGGCATGGTCTGTCTCTCCATCTCCCAGTCCCCACCCCCACTGGGCGGCCAGGACCCTTGTTCTCATTCATTCTCATATTTGCGCCTTGGCCTGACTGTGATCTGGGCCACTCCTCCTGGACCCTGAACAGGAGATCCATGCTGTGAGAAGGGAGGAGCAGGGTCCAGATCTGGGAGGGAACCCTTTGAGGGGTCACGCAGCAGGGGATGGGGAAGCAGGGCCCACTCACCCTCGGCACTGAGCAGCTTCCGGTCCTTGTACAAGTCGGTCAGGAAGAGGCTGTGGACCAGTGTGGACTTCCCCAGGCCCGACTCACCTGCCAGCAGGTGTAGTGGAAGAGTCGGGTTAAGTCTGAGGCCCCTATGACAGAGCCTGACTGGCTAATGGCCCAAGCCCCCCCCCTGCCTGGGAGTCCAGCCCACTCACCGGCCACCATGAGCGTGAAATCAAAGCCCTTCTTCACAGACTTCCGGTGCACCTGATTGGGCAGTGTGGCGAAGCCCACGTACTGCTTGTCGATATCCTGGGGGCCGGGCAGGGCAGGTCATGGGCATGCTGGAGTGCCTGGGGCAGTCTGATGCCCCATTCCCTACCTGGCTCAGACATGGAGGCAGCAGAGGGCAGAGTCCCCTGGGTGGGGAGTTTCAATGGCACAAATGGGGTGAGGGCCTGTGGGCGAAGGTCTGGTGGTGGAAAGGCAGGTAAGAGGGTGGCAGGCATCCTTGCCCAGCCTCAGCGAGGGGCTCTGCAGGGACCTGACAATGTGTCTGTGTGTGTGGAGTTTAGGATGTCTGGCTGCGGCAGGCCCAGGCTGTGCCCTCCCTTGGGTGGTGGGAAGAGGGCGCCAGGACCAAGACCCCTCAGACACACCCAAGGTCCTTCACAGACTGGAGAAGCCCCCTGGCCTCAATACTCACCGTCCTGAGTGTACCGGGGGTGGGAGGCCCCATTTGGCCTTGATCCAGCCGCGGGGGTGGCTGGCTGCTGCTAACAGCGGAGCAAGGGCTATTTATAGACAGCGGCAAGGCGACGCCCCCGCCCGCGGGGTCCCAGTGCCCACCCCGGCGGACCCTGGCCCTGCCGGTCCCTGTCACGTCCCAGAGCTCTCGGGACGGGCCCTGGAGGGCGCACACACGTTGACCCACATTCCACTCCCCTCTCCACACACACCTTGAGCCGCCTCTGGGCCTGGGTCCGCGGCGACAACAGCTGCTCCACCAGGCGGTCCTGGGGCGCTGCCAGCGAGTCCATCGCGGCGTCCGCACCTCAGACCCGGTCAGGCCCCCGGGGGCCGGGCTTACAGGAGGGACTTACGCGCGGTACTGCCTTGAAGGCCGGTTCTCGCCCCCGTTTTACGGACGCGGGAAGTGAGGCCCAGAGAAGAGACGTGGCCCACCCGGGGTGCCGCCGACCCGGAGGCCCTGCGTGCCATGCCAGTGCCTCTGCCGACCACCCCGAGCCGCCCGCGGCGTTGCAGCCACAGGCAGGCCCCGCTCCCGCACCCGAACCAGAGGCGGGGCCTTGCCGGCGCTGGCGGGGGGTGGGGGGACAGGACCGCCCCACCCGTGCGGTCGCTGGGAAACAGTCGCCTGGAAATTGGGCCGCAGGCGGAGCCACGGGAAAGCTGTTGCGGAGGGCAGGGCCGAGCACAGGCGCGCATAGGCGAGGGGGCGGAGTCCCGCTGTCGGACCTGAGGCCTCTGTCCCGGCGTCGCGACCACCCGAGTGGGCGGGTGGGGGAAGCCGGGGCCCACCCAAGGGCCCTGGGGGGCGCTGTTGTGGCCTCCCCGCGCCCGGGACCCCCCCAGGTGCAGC